TCACTCTTGATCTCAAGTTTTGGCCTCCACACATGATTGTTCACGAGTTCAAGCCTAAAAAGCGTGACCAGCCTCTCTCCCTTCCAGTCCCTTTAATACGGGATACCATTTGACCAAATCTTTATTCATTATCAGAATGTTAGAGGTCGCATTTCAAAGCTTAAAAATCTTTTTATGGCCAGCACTACCTTCGAATCGGATATAATAGCATTTTCAGAAACATGGTTAAATTCAACCATATTTGATTTTAAGGTTTTTTCGAATAATTTGATTTTGCATAGAAATGTTCGTTCGACTCGAGGTGGTGTGGCGTAAATTGCCGTTCAAGCCACTCTCCAGTCAGAACTTTTCTATTTTAGTACGCCTACTGACGCTGAGATTATCTCAGTTAAGGTGTATTTTCCTACACGAAATATCTATATTACATGCTCTTATGTCCCTCTTTCTTCTGATATTCAAGTTTATATGAAACATGTTACTTGTATTAAAGAAGTTTCTTCAGACGTGCGTGATAATGACCTATTTATGGTGTTGGGTGTATTTAATTGGCAAAACATCTTTTGGTCATTATTCACTGCCGATAATTATCTAGTGCCCTCAGCACAGTACGATTTTATAGACTGCATGCTTGATCTTTCGTTGTTTTAAATCAATTCTATGTCTAATCATTTGAATAGAACACTTGACCTTGTATTTGTTAACATTTACTGTATTTCTGTATTGCTCATCAGCCAATAAGCCCCGCCGTTGCTTTCGCAAAGGAAATTATTCTTCAAGTTTGACATTTTTTTTTTGTCTCCTGATGGTTAATACTAATTTTCTTCCAATCAACTTACTCTTCAATCTGTCCTAATATTATTTCTTACCCTTATACTATTTCTTCCGCTAGTTCCATACCTCCTCCCATTATTTCACACTCCTTTTAGCTATAAACTCTTTAAAATTTTCTTACTCTCCTGGGCCTGACACTTTTCCTAGTTGTCTTCTTCCTTTCCTTTTTAAGCTTTTTAATCTATCCCTTTAATCTTCTGCCTTTCCATCTCTTTGGAAAGAATCTTATATCATTCCTCTCCACAAGAAACGTGGAAAGTCGGATATACAAAATTACAGGGGCATTGCAAAACTGTACGGTATTCCAAAATTATTTAAAAAAAAAATAACTTCGAATTTGCAGCATTTCTGCAAATCATTTTTTTCCCCTGATCAACATGGATTCGTAAAGATGGCGATAATTTCTGGTTGGTCTAGCACACAAGGAGAATCTATATCGCCAATAATCAACTTATGTATCCAAGCAATACCGAGAATCGTCCTACGGTTGGCTAACGACGGAAGATTAAGAAGAAGCAGTCTGCTGGAGTAAGATCGCAGCGAAGATTAAGGATTAGGGATGTAGGGGATTAGTGTATGATATATGTGATATAACCTAGGGGAGATCATTTATAAAAAGAGTAAAGAGTAAAGGCCCAAGATGACAACCTTGAGGAGCACCAGAAGTAACCTGTTTAGAGCTAGTCTGCTTCAACATTACTCTATGTTTTTTAATAAAGTTTTCTTCCATAAAAATGCAAAGGACATTATAGCTGGATTACTCGATTACTTGATTTTTTATTTTTATACCCTTGTAGAGGGCAGTATAATATTTTCATAAAATGTGTAACACATTATTGTGTAAGTTAATATTGTCGAACTTTTCTTGTGCGAGGTCACTGAGACAAAATACTTTTTAAAGTTGACCATCCAAGCTTATTGCTCGAAACAGACTGAAAACGAAAATACAAAATGACCTCTAATCGATGGCCCTGACTAATAATCGCTAATGTTGAAGCTGATTGGATTTCGTGCGTCGGCGCCTGGGATGTTGATGGCAGCATATCTGTGACAAACTTCCTTAATTAACTGATCATGCACAAGTGTCTGTAAATTGCATAGTCACCGGGTTGGTGACTTATGCCTGGCCGGATGTGTTAACATGTATATATGTTTTAGATTAACATTAACAGTCGAGTCTATTTGTCTATCTGTCTGTTTATATGCGAACTAGTCTCTCAGTTTTGAAGCTATCGTCTTGAAACTTTTCACAAACCGTCAAGCAGTACATATGTCGGATATGGTCAAAATCGGTTCCTGTATGAACATTTTTTTTGGTTTATCATGACATTTTACCCAAACAAGACATTTATAATTTTCACTTTGCTTCCCTATATATATGTAAATTTAATCAACATCGAAACACTACGTTATTATTATAGCTTCCATAGGAACGATCGGTCGAAAATTTAAAACTTCTTTTTTGTTTTTCAAGATATCTTTGCCAAATTCGGCATTTGTAAGTTTCAGCATACTTCCTACATATATCTAAAATCCTACTATCAGTAAACTATATAATATAATTGGTGCCATCTGTATGATCGGTCAAAAATTAATTACTTGTATGGAAAACCTTTTGTTTATCAAAATATTATACCTAAACTCGGCACTTAAATACACTTACATGTATGTAAAATCTTATCAACATCGGACCATCGGATCAATCGCAAAGCAGGTTCTTATATGGAAATCTGCAAACGGGCTTATGGCAGAATCTTACCGCTAGTCATTTCAGGCTCCCGGCTCCAGGCGATAACACGCCCCATTAGTCAGGACCTTACCTAATAGACTCGCTGAGCTAGTCGACGATTTTGACGACGATGAATCCGATTTGGGAAAGACTTAGTTAGACGACGAGTCCAACAATGCTGTTAGGCCCAGTTCACCACCAGTGCACACACCCGCTGGGGCTGCTGCCACAAAAAACCAAGGACGTGCCTACGTATATGACTATAGTCACGATGATGATCCGAAAATTTAGATCTTCAGCTTCCAGCTACACAAGGATAATCCCTATAGGATGGTGATGCGAGAATTACGTTATTGAATTTGGACAGATATATAAAATGTAAATACTAAACAGGTAAAAGAATAAAATCGAGCCTATGCGCAAGCAATGCGTAATGTAGACGCTGCCAAAGCCATCGAAGCCGGGTGTAGTCACAATACGCCTATTGTTCCTCGGAATGTGAGTTGGTTTACCAACCACCTGTGTTCACCTGCTCTTAAAGTCCACTCAATACCATCCATGCTGTATTATCTTGTAATATAATTACTGAAAAATAAAAGTGACTAAAAGAACTGGAGACTTTAAATTTGAATTAAACCTTATTTTTTTGAGGTAACGTCTTACACATTTGAATACTTTATAACTTGACCTGTGAACTTAATCAAAATCTCATTCAAAGCTCATATATACACAATTTTGAAAAAGACTGATGTGAAGACCTTGCATATGTAGACTCGGTACCAAAGTTTACGTTAAGACCAAGTTCGTGCTTTTTAGTATAATATCGATCAAGAGTATGGGCGCTGTTAAAATGCTCATAGTTAAGCAGAGTCGAACTACGCTTACTGAGCAACTAGAGAAGGCGTCCTCTCTAATATCTAAAAGGCTGATGTCTTCATACAAGGGGGAGCGAAGGTTTCGCATCAGCGCGGAGCAACTTGACTGATAAATTTGAAAATAGGAAACTGTTATTCAACAGCCAACTCCATATGCTCTTAAGTCTTCAATCAGCATTGCAGGAATCTGGAGATACAGCAGTTAGCTCTATTCGTTCTCCGTGGTTAGACCTCCTTGAAGGAGATGTTTTTTATAAAAGTCCGCATTAAAACTGTACATAAGGTTGTCAATTTGCTAACTAAGAAAACCAGATTCCTTGTCTCGTATCTTTACCGTAGTCAGCAAGCCACCATGCAAATGGACGACCTTCGTGGCTAATAGGGTCCGAAAGATCACTCAAGCCAAAAACATCAGTAAATTGCTTCTCATTCGTTCCAAACATAACGCTGCTGATTTGGCTAGCCCACATCCCTGATGGGTCATTGATCTGTGATGGTCTTAACCTGAATGGCTAATATGCCTACAATTATCGGTCCTTTTTAATCAACCCATGAGGAAAATTTTCATCGTATCAGAAGTTGAATCCCAAGACCAAGGCAGTTGGTCGTTTCTCCGAATACGAAAAAAAACTTAGAGTCATGGCCTATGTGTACTGGTTCCTTAAACATTGCCAGAAACCTGATACTCAGTTTCAAAATAACATCAGCAGCAATAAACTGTACAGTGCTCAACAGTGGTTTATTTATTTTTACTTACCCAACGCATTAAGCATTAAAGATACTCGACAGTAAATTGTTCCAAGTTCCATTGCCATCCTTATACGCAATTAGTTTATTGACAAAAGCGGTAAATTGTTTGTGGGAGTCTTCAAAGCCTAAAATTATATTACTCCATTTAAAGACGTCAAAAATTGTCCTGGCTAAGGAAGGAGTGAAGAACTTCAAAACGCTTTTTAAATGCCTGTCTCTCCAATTCGCCTAGGTACGCTTGCGAAGATTGATTTTAAAGAAGCGTAATGGAAGAAGGTCACGAAATTGAACCAAACGATTAATTATGAATCTTTATATCTTGATTCCTTTTTTTAAATTCTTTTTGTTCCTATCAAAATGGATTTATTTTTCTTTTTTACTTGTAAAGCGTTTAAATAACGTAGATATATAAGTGAACATACAAAACATATAAATGAATAAAATAATAAGTTCGTTATTTTCAATTTTGACTTTTAAGTTTACAACACTCATGTTGTCAATACTTTTGTCCGTAACATATTTTATGCTGATGTTATATTTCTTACTACTTTTACTCGATGAAAAACGCGTTCTTTATTAATTTTTGTATTTTTGATTTATTTTTTAGGCAAAAATATAACATGCAAATGTGTTTTTCGAGAAATGGCTTCCACATCACATCGTTTTCATATTTACATGCGGACAGATGGACGGAATGACAGATAAATGTATAAACAGTCACGCAGACATATATCTACACGAATGATGATTACACTATTAACCTTTCTAACAATTTATAATTGGTTCAGGGAATAACAAAAATATAACAATCAATATTACTGTACATTGTAAACTTTATTCAAAAATCGAAATACATACAGTTTTTCATGTTTTTATAAGCAGGGTATGCATTTACATATGTGTACATAAAATATCGATTAAAATTTATCACACCTTAGCCAGTTTACATATACTGTATTCACAAAAAAAAAATTCTATTTCAGTGTTGATACAAATACATACAACAAAAAAAGGTCAGCCAAAATGGATGAGCCCATGTTAGAGATTTCGAAGATTTTGCTACTTTCTTTTAATACTATACACTAAATAATAAAATTATCTTGCCCTAGATAACGAAGTTTCCTGCTCACCGGTATCATGGCTGTGAGATTCAAGCCTAGTATTATTTGGCGCACCTGAAAATTAAAAATGTAATATTTAAATAAGTTTATTTATTATATTTCCAAAGAATTTCCAAAAATTACATTTGATATTTATGTTCCGTTAAAAAAGAGATTGCATAATGTTATGATATATGTTAACATCTTATTCACCCAAAATATCAGTTATAATTAATCAATAGCTACGCAGCTTCCCTATTTCGGGTTCCCGCCTATATTAAAGGTACCGGTACCAGAGGTAAATGTGCAAAAGTATTTTTAGAGAACCAGCGGAACTAAAAGCCACAATTAGTTCCCGCAAAACGCTGCAAAAACCTCTAAATCTAAATTTTTGCCGATATAACAGTATCAAGCTTCCCATATCGATACGCACAATGCCGCATGGGCCTAAACATGGGCCAATAATGAATAAAATCTTTCTCGTGTCTAATTAACCGTTCCTTAGTAGGCTAAAAAGTGTAGCCCACAATGAAAAGAAGTCCTACTCAAACCGTTAAACATTGAATAAGTTTATGGAATAAATCATTGTTATAAATGTTCACACAGTAACTTCAGTAAAATATAATACAGTGCACAAAATAATGCACATAGTGAAAATAAAAAACTAAACAAGAAACGCCTAGCCCATATAAATGCAACGTTATGAATGATAAAAATCTATTTTATTTATGTATTTTATTTCATTTTTTAAGCGAAATACAAAAAAGTACACTTACTGAGACTAAGCTAAGAAGACCCCAATCAGAATACTCTGTAAGCCTAATAATCATCAAAGATAATCCAGAAAGGTTTGACTGCTCCAGCAAGATCTTTACTCTCTACCTTAACAGTAACGGCAATCGCTATCAACCATTTAAACCCCTTTTTGGTTAAACCACCTAAGCTGTCAACCCCAGAAATGTGCACTTTTCGGAATATATAAAAGTTGCATTTAAGCGCTTGACAACAGCCAAATCAGACACATTTGAACACTGTAATTTGAGCAATAGTAAGGCAAAGCGAGTATTACGTCGACGCTGGATGCGTTTACGGCATCTGACTGATTTGGCGGAGATCAAATTGGCAATCTCCGATTAACGAAGATTTTTATTTATTACGAATATACACTAATCAAGGTCAATGTTTTGCGTTGTAGAAGTGCACAGGAGGCAACCGTTCCGCAATGTTCTTCAGCTTCGTTTTCGGCAATTTTGCACCAGCAACAAAATAGCAGACTGTTGCAAGGCACCATTACAATAGTTTTAAAACTGAGAGAAAAGTTTACATAGAAACAGACGAACAAATACGGACATACTTAGCTTAATCAACTCGTAGGTCGACATTGATGGAATATATATATTCTGGGGTCGGAGAAAATCCACATGGATATACAAAGATCAAGTTTATATCGAATATGCTAATATATACTAAAATTATAATATAAAACCATTACTTACCAATATAACTAAGCAGAACAGGCAAAAAGATTAAACCATGTGTTGCGCCAATAACTACAATACCGAAGTACATTCGAAAATAAAATACTTGGAAAATTTGGCTTTTCGCAAAAGCTAGGACTAATATTCCCGCAAATTTGGTAAGCGTTATACCTGAAAATATGGAGCTACCCATTTTTGATAAGCAATCGGCAGCTCTGTTCACTTGATTAATTTCTTTTGAGAGTGAAAAACTATGCACAAGATGTGAACAAAACTCTACAGATATTCCTATGGCCATCACAATATTGACCAAAGACACAGCATTGAGAGATATATTCCAGTAGTACATGAGACCCCCAAGGTTTACTATTATCATTGTTATAGTGATAATTACAACAAGAGCGGAATGTATATCAAACCCCATTAAAATGAATGTTACTATAAAAATGGAAAGTATTGAAATTCCTATACTTTGCAATGTATCTGACCACATAGTTAAATATTGTTCATAAAAAACATAAAATACTGAATAGGGAAATACTTCGACTTGCATAGCTAAGTCCAATGGTAGTCCGTTTGATATAAGGTTATATCTTAACATTTGCGTGATGTTAGCAGATATCTTTCTAGCTGCTTCTAAGGCTTGGAAATAGTCCCTCGATGATTTTAAAATTGAATGATATGCCATAAAATATGAAGAGTCTACATTTAATGTTTTTTGGGCGTAGTTATAGCGAACAGCTCCGCTGTAGGCAGCGTGGCCTGCTTTAACACATGAATCATCCGGATTATCCTTTAAGAAGAACGGTAGATATTTCCCGAAATCTTGTTCATCTGGCCGCTGCAAATCATTTTTCTTAATTATGCAGTTTGAGCAGGAAGTATCTAAAATAAACAAAATAAAGAAATTGATATCAGCTTTTAAGTTCAGATAGGTACACTCTAATTAAAATTATACATATTGGGGGCATTACACGGCCTCTCTTATGAATACATATTTTAGACATATCTTTTTACCGGGTTTCCACACGCCGAAAATTGTATTCTGATCGCACTTATTGAACTCTACGTCGTTTTGAATATATTTTTAAATTTATTACTTATTACTTATTTATTTATTAACAAAGGTCGGCAAAGTGCCTGACTAATTATTTAATAAATAAATTAATATATAAATAAATAAATTAATATACACATTTTTAAGAGCATCATCGATACGATAGGGCGTTTTTTTTTCCCGTCCGGTCAGTTATTATCTTTTTCAGAGCTATTTCGTTATTAGTTCAGTGATGTTGTAAGAGCCCTACAGCAAAGAAGGTAGGTGTTGGTAGAAAAAATTGTTTTCTTAAAATAAAATTAATAATATTCATTTACTATATTTTTAAAGAAAATACGTACGTAGGTATGAAAAGGAGCCGATAGTTACTGAAAGATCTGGACGAAGAAAAAAATTGAGGACGTTCTAATGAAAAAGAAGAATCTATGTCGCGAACAATTAACTTATATGGGAAGACAAGACCGAGGATTGTTTTTCGATTGTGTAACGACAGAAGATTATGAAGAAGCACCCTACTGGAGTATGATGGCAACCGAAGATTCCATTAAAAGAAAGTTAAACCTCGTAAGTCAAAAACCAGCGATTGCTTTTGAACTGAGTCAATGCTATGGAGACTAGATGCAATGACAGTATTTAAGATAGGGCGAACAAGAGACATTATAGAAATTTGGTCTTGACAGGATTGTTAACCTCCTTAGATCAAAGTTAATTGAATTCAATTCATTTCCGATTGAAACAGAATTAAGAATCAAAGAGAACGCCTAGGTACTTTACTGTCAGAATAAGTTTCAATGGAGTATTGTCCATTGTGTAACTAACAAAATAAGGTAGACTAAAATTGAAGGTCAAGAACACTGTGAACAATTTAGATGCAATCGATTGGCCGAACCCCAAAATTGCATAGCGTTCAAATTATCATATTGACGAGACCGTATTCACATCATCCGCATACATAAGTACACAGGCATAATTATTATAATATAACAGATATAATATAACAGACGGCAGATCGTTTATAAAAGGAGTAAAGATAAGAGGTTCAAAATAACTAACCAAAATAACTACCTCCATTGAATAAAGAACAAACAATTAGAATAGATTTAAAGAAAAAAAAATATACTTGAACCCGATCAGGTATCATTCATTCTGCATTGTTTTTTTCTTGACATACATTGACAAATTCAATCTTCTCAATAACTATGCATATCCTGGAATGCCTTTATGGATGAGAAGGCCCTTCTCATGGTAATGATTATCAATTCAGTTTCTTTTTATTCGAATGATTTTTATACATGATGGTGTATGATTTTTATTCCAAATTTTTAAAATTCTCTTTTTATTTTTATTTTTTTTTTTTTTTTTTTGCTTTTAAACGATTATCTTTCTTATTTGCTATATCTATATGATTTCCCGAGAGTATGTTTTTATCTTATAGCCGTTGCCAGTCTTCAATAAAAGTAAATATCGTATTCTTTAATTGTGGACGCCTTTGCATGCCGTTTTTAGGCTCATCTCAGTAGAAGAGGATAGTGTAACGAGAGGCGAATAGCTTGGTGTGTGTCTGCGAAATAAGGAAGACCATACACCTGTCGGAAATGGTAGAAGTAGTTTCGGAAATCAGAATATTTAAGTCTCTGACTATAGTCCCGTTTCTAACATAGCGGAACTGTGATCATGCGATCCAATGACTTGATAATGGGAGCCTGGACCCGTCTGAGTGTGGGGTCACAACCACCTAGCTAAATTTACTAACTACGTTCACAGTAAGTGGAGTGAAGCTATCAGTGTGCCGGATCCATTTCTCGTCCAGTCGCAGTCGGTAAAATCGTATACCATAAGCTAGTTTGATTTATTTAGAGCATAAATCGGAAGTCCGTTATGGTACGGGGAGAGTCAAATGTCCGCAATCAGGCTACATTAGAAAGCCCACCGAAGGCATGCCAAAAAAAAAGACCGTGCCCGTCGCTCGAATTACGCACCCATTGATGAAAATATCTCTGTATAACGAAAAACCGTCGATCAGCTCATTTGCACACATTTGTGCGTATTTATGAGTGCGTGGCACAAAAGGTCATCATGTACACATGCCATCGCACAGGTACCCTTACCCTTACAACAACTGTGGGATATAGCAATTTTGCCCATGAACAGGCCAAACCCTTTAATAATATCACGCAACTGCCTACTCGAAAGGGTGTGCGTGTGGACAAGCAGCAAGTCGCAAAAATTGAACACGTTCAATTTTAGTCTTTTCTTAGAACTCTGACAAGTCGACGATGAATTACCCTTTCAGAAAAAGGACTTACATATTTTTGTAGTTTAAACAAAATAGGTCCCAGGTCAATTTAGTGTGTATTAAATAAAATTGGACCAAATTCTTCTCATTATGCCTGACTGGACGAAAAAATAAATGGTAGATAACTTCTACCACAGGCACATAAGGGACACAATTGAAGAAATAACCTCTGGCTCGCGACAAAAGTCGTGATCTACTAGGGCGCACATATACACAACACAAACATATGTATGTGTGTAGATCTCTGGGTTTTGTGGGAAGCTATGCAGGGAGAAAGAGATGCACGCAAGTGCGCAATGAGCAATAAGTGAGAGCGATGCACACTCTGCACATACATAAGCACATATGTACGCATTTGGGCTTTAGGATTTAAAAATGGCATAAATATATTAAGAAAAAGCATCAGCTGCAATGACGTCGTGCGCTGAGTGAGATGCGGCTTCATACTGAACGTTCGGCTTTCGAGGCCGGCTGCCTCTCTCAACAGTCTTACTCTATTTGGGCACACTAAAATGGTCGCAGGCACCCTTGAGGTTCCCTCGTTGCGATTTATCGTGTTTCGATAAAAAAGGCTATTTGGTATATCTATACATTGTATGGTTAGTGATACTGTCTCAGAGGTGGGCTCGGTTGTATACCGAGAATACCTGTCCAATTGTAGAGCCGAGCTCAACGGCTTAAACGTAATTTTCAATTTTCTGGACCCAACGTGCCTGTAGAGCAATCGCAATATCAGCCCCATGGAGCAATGTTTGCCAGGTGGCTGGTTTACTTCCATAGAGAAAGTCCGAGCCTTCATGGACCACCTGATGCGATCATAACCATCTTAGATTCCTGGGTGCATCATAGTGCTGACCTGTTGCTTCCTGTTAAAGTAAGTAAACAGCCCACGACAGTGTTTTCAAAGAAAGCTCGACAGGTCCGTCCATCTGAACTTCGAGCCTTTTGATTAGAAAAGTCCAGCAACTAGTGGGGTCCTAGTATTACACCGTAAGGTAATTTTACTCTTTTGGTCCATTAGCCTGACCAGCCGAAGGATGACCCTGTGTCAAATCGGCCACTCACTCTTGTCCTTTTGCTCTCAAAGGATTTTGGGAGGCATGCTTAGCTTGTGCATCTTCAAAATATCACCGAGGACGCTTTTGTTTAGGTTCACAGGGTGTCGACTCATATCCTTATAGCATACGACGAAAAAGCTTGTGCATCTTCAAAATATCATCCAGGAGCATCAATTTGGCTCTAGTTTAGGATATAGCGCTATTGATTAGGTTCACAGAGTTTTAACTCACACCCCTATGGCAAACGAAGAACATACAATCTACGCAGGAGTGATGTGCCACTAGTATGGCTTAAGGACGAAGTCATGCAGACGGATCAACAGGTAAAGTATTTGGGCGACGTCCTGGATTAACGACTGACATTTAGACTGCACATCCAGGCCACTGTCTACATGATGCGCAATAGATCGTAACTCCTCCTGCAGTGTGAAAGGGCGGTATACTACGCTTCCATAGTCGCTAGAGTGAAGCCTTACGACTAATAAAAATGACGTTACTCGACTTCTTGTCTAGGTTAATCTAGTAAACTCCAAACGTAAGGTAGGGCTGGCCTGATTATTCAAATATATCTCTATTGTTGGAAGAAACAACTTTTAAGCTACTCTTTTTATTGATATGGCGATTCTACTACGTAACCATTACGTTTTCATAGAATTTGGTAAGGTGAAGTGAAATTTTATATTTCTACAGCTATGGTTTTACGTTTCCATCATTTATCAGTTTGTCAATCTGTTTATTATTTTCTGATTGGATTGTATTGGATTCTGATGGCATGATGTCTTGATTATTATTTAAAAATGCTAAAATATTTTAATTTGAATTTAAATATATAACTCTACAGCGATTGCCGTTTTAGCTGGCGCGGTATTGAGCAAGCTGTTATAGTAAAATACAATATCTGGAACTGGAAGATTTCCAGTTGATCCTGTGTAACTTCTTATAAACTTTGATAACTACTGGTCAATTATCCAGACTTCATGATAACATTGGTAAAAATTAAAGATCTCTCCAGTAGACACAACCCGCAACTGACCAGTCTACTAGTTACAGCCTTTACGCGACAGCCATATTAAAAATGCATTTCCATAGAGAAACAAGTAAGAGTTTCTAGTCGGGAGCTCCCGGCTAGCGGATAACCTGAACCCTCTTCCTTCAACATCAAATGCATATATATATTTTATTTTAGAAGCTATATGTCAAGTTTGGTCACTCTAGCGCTTATTATTTACCAAAATTGCCCAAAAAACAGGATATCGATATCGATTTTTATCGATTGCTTGGAAACTGAGTAAGTTATCGATTATCGGAAATAAACTCGATCTGCGCGGGAGCTAGGAGCACCTACATCTAAAATTTCTTCTCTAGCTCTTATAGGTTCTGAGATCCTTGCGTTCATACATATGGACGGAACGACGGACGGACGGACGGACAGACAGACGGACATGGCTAGATCAACTTGGCTATTGGTGCTGATCAAGAATATATATACTTTATGGGGTCGGAGATGCTTCCTTCTCCCTGTTACATATAATTGGATTTCGCACAAATACAATATGTATGTATGTATGAACGCAAGGATTTCAGAACATATAAGAGCTAGAGACTAGAAATTTTAGATGTAGGTGCCCCTAGTTCCCGCGCAGATCGAGTTTATTTCCGATAATCGATAACTCATTCAGTTTCCAAGCAATCGATAAAAGTCGATACCAACATCGTGTTTTTCGAGCAAATTGGGTAAATAATAAGAGCTAGAGCCATCAAACATGATATGTTGCTTTTAGAATATTATGTATATGTCAAGCATCTTTCATTTTACACCTATCGCCACCTCCCCGCTACCACCGCAGAGCTATAAATCAAGTTAATAAGCCATCTTGCATTGCCAACCAATTTAAGCCACAATTTAAATGCAATTGACTTTTTCAAAATACACAAATATTTTATGGTACAATAAAATATACTGTAGAAAATTTTAAAAAGATCGGATAAAGAAAAAAATCGGCTTTATCAAAATAAATTTAAACTAAAAGTTTCCTTACACTCGTTTCCGACTGCACTACTGCTAGCTGCAAACACATAATTTGATTTATACCTATGTGGTAGAGGAGGAGCCCTTCAGCTGTATATATATACTAATCTAGAAGCAACATGTCAAATATGGATCTTAAAACCTAAGAGATTAGCTCAAAAAACTTAAATTCAAAATCCATATTTATTGATAAGTGGGAAACGAGGTAAGTTAACGATTACGGAAACAAACTCATACAGCGAAGGCACTAAGATGAACGACGTTTAAAATTTCAGATCAACTCGTTCATACGGACGAACAGTCAAGTTTCACTATTCTATATTAACATTATCTTTATTTAAACCTTTGTTAAAAAAATTGTGATTAAATTGTATGTTATTGTGGACCGTTACGTTTAGTTGTCAAAAAAAAATTGGATTTAGTGTGGTTGACCCACTGTCTGTCTGATTAGTGACCTTATGTGATAGTGGTGCACATTTAGTCGGCATCAAATTCTTTTTTTAAATATTATTGAGAAAATTTGCTTCCTTCTTGGTGGGAATAGGGGTTAAATATTTGATTTGATTTTCTGTTTTTTTTTTTTTTTGGATTTTTTGGTCGTAGTTTTTAAGTTTTCCCCGATTGGCTTCAAATTTATTTACAATCTCTTAAAAAGAACTTCATGAATAAGTTTTTTAACGATTTTGATACTTTCATCGGCTTCTTAGATAAACTGGCGTAAAACACTATTTTTTTATCATAATTGTGTATTGCATAGGAGTCATCACCGATCACAGAAAGTATATATCTTCTAGGTCAGTTAATCATAGGTCAATCATTCACCTACAGGCAGTACAAATGTCGGAACCGGTCGGATGGGACCATTTTATAATATAGCTGCCGTATTTCTAATAGTTTCACTGTGCTATGAGTTGGTTTTCTAATACCTTATTAAGATCTACGCAAGTAACGTTTTCAATTTTTTGACACTCAAACGACAATATTACTTTAATAGAATTGCAAATTGCGCTGTATAAGCAGGTGTTTAATTTATACAAAAGGCAGGAAATTAATTGTTTGCTTAAATATTAATTTTAAAACAAGTTAGAGGTTCTAATCGGGAGCACCCGTCTCGGGAATACCCTGAACCCTCTTATACCAATACCAAATTCAGCTCGTTCTACGCGTTTGTAGTAATAAAGACTAATTTAAAACAAGTAAGAGTTCCTAGTCGGGAGCTCCCGACTAGGGGATACCCTGAACCCTCTTCTTCCAACATCAAATGCATATATATATTATATTTTAGAAGCTATATGTCAAGTTCGGTGACTCTAGCTCTTATTATTTACCAAAATTGCCCAAAAAACAGGATATCGATATCGATTTTATCGATTGCTTGGGAACGGAGTAAGTTATCGATTATCGGAAATAAACTTGATCTGCGCGGGAATTTCCTAGTTCCCCTAGTTCCTAGTGCTCCTGCACCTATATCTAAAATTTCAAGTCTCTATCTCTTATATGTTCTGAGATCCTTGCGTTCATACATACGGACGGACGGACGGACGAACAGACAGACAGACGGACATGGCTAGATCGACTCGGCTATTGATGCTGATCAAGAATATATATACTTTATGGGGTCGGAGATGCTTCCTCCTGCCTGTTACATACATTTGGATTTCGCACAAATACAATATACCCTTATACCCATTTTAAATGGGTTCAGGGTATAAAAAAGCTCCCTTGGCAGTGTTCGAGCTTGCAACTGACTATATTACTTGCTGCTAACTTTACTCAACAGCCACACCAACCAAAAAAAAATGTTTTTCTCGGTAGGGTTCGAACTCGCAACAGACCGCACCTCATGCAACCGCCTCTACTCAATAACGACACCATTCATTGGGCCTTATGGAAAAAAATCGAATAAAAATAACAGCACAGAAAACAATGCAATCGCAATTGCAATGCAGTTGATAGAATTCGAAGCAGACGCACATGAATGTACACACATATGTATACAGATACAAGGCAAAACATATAACTCTTGGTTTCTTAACCGATCTTAATGAAATTTTTCATAGTATATAGTACCATAGTACCACAGAATATTTGTGTATTCTCAAAAAGTTAATTGCATTAAAATTGTAGCTTAAATTGGTGTGCAATACAAATTGGGTTATTAACTTGATTTTAAGCATTATGGTAGTAGCGGGGAGGTGGCGGTAGGTATAAAATGAAATATACTTGAAATTCATACTATTCTTGATTATAATATATTTGTGAAATTGTATGTAATAAGTAGAGGAAGCATCTTATATTCTTGATCAGAATCAATAGCCTAGTTGATATAGACACAGCCGACCGTCTGTCTGTATGTATAAACGCAAGGATCACAAACCTTTAACAGCTATATAGTTGACATTTGGAACGCGCTCGCAGTAATACTTTGTTTGCGATAAGCGATAACTTTTCCTGTTTCCACGTAATTGATCATAATCGATTCCCAAATCTCTTAGGTTTTAAGAATTAGAATCACCAAACTTGACAGGCAGCTTCTAAAATAGTATATATATCAAGTATATTTAATTTTATAGCTATCGTTACCACCTCGCTACCATAGAATATGTGCTATAAAAGAAAACATGTTTAGGCTGGCCACATAATAGCAGCTAGCGCAAATTGTAAGAATTTTTGTATACATGTACATACGCACTTTCACGCGCGTCTTTACTGAATTCTATCAACAGTATTTTAATATCGATTATATTGTTTTCTATGCTGTGTGCATGTGCTTCTATTTTATTGTTTTTTTTTTTTCTTAACAGTAGCGATTAGTTGTTGGTTTGGCTGTTGAGTAGAGAAGTGTGGTCTGCTTCGAGCATGAAGGAACTTTTTTTTTTAATTTATTTTTATTACTTCTAAAGCATATAGCGCGAGGTGCATTTGGTGTTGGTAGAGGACGGTTCAGGGTATCCCCTAGTCGGGAACTACCGACAAGAGCACCTTTTTTTATTTTCATTTAATTTTGTAATAATAGGTCGAGTCAGATTGGGTATAGAGTTAACGAGTATTTAAATATTCTTACCTTGATGAGGACAAAAGCTGTCATTCTTCGGATTATACTTGCAACAACTTGATGACAAAGCCCAATCAAAATAATCGTCAATCCAACTTGATGCAGGGCGAGCAATATAAGTTAAGTTTGATCGTCGGCTAGCTAAGTAAAGTTGCGTTAAAACACTGTCATCATTGCAATATCGTCCTGAACATACTAAATTCTGATTAGAACTATTTGAATAATTTATATCTCCCCTAAGTACAAAATATACTGGGGGGCCAATATTAAGATGTTCGTTTAAAGACTTGAAATAATGTAAGACAAAACTATCTTCAGGCATTGCCAATTCTTGATCAAGTCCGATTTCAATTTTTGGAACAAAAGCAATACTAGCACAAAGGCATCCAAAAGATAAAATCATTACAGTTACTCTAACAGCCTTTTTCATGAGAAATGGAACGTAGACACTTCTAAAAAATTTGTATAAAAGCCCTTCATTATTGTGCACAATATCTGACTTTTTACATTTTATAAAACAGCAAATATCTAAACGATTTTCGTCTTTCCGTTTTATGTCAAGCGTGAACAATCCGATAAAACATGTTATTTGTAATATAAAATCTATTAGTAAAGCAGCACCAGCGTACAGCGCAAAAGCTTTTACTGCAGGCATGTCAGATAAGCTACCAAGAAAAAAACAACAGCTCTCACTTACAGATGTTAATAACATGCTTGGGCCTACTCGTCCTAGAACCCGCCCCACTTGCTGTTCTGTCGTTTCATTAGTTCTACGCTGATCTCTTTGGAAAGTCTGAACTAGAATAAAAATATTGTCAACTCCAACCGCCAGTACCAAAAATGGTATTACTTCCACAATAATTAATGTTGCTGGTACCCCAATATATCCAAAAATTCCTATGGAAGAGACTACTGACGCTAAGACTATGATAACACCGCCAATACCTAGTGTAATTTTACTGTCAATCAGTGATCTTTTTAGTTCTTGCACATGTCCAAGGGATATGGCGATATAAATAAACATAATAATATATGAAACTAAAACGGTTAATACGTCCGACTGGGACTCTCTATTTAATTCATCCTCAATAGACCGCTCAGTAGTGAATGCTATATCCATTGACTTACTTTTGTTATTTTCTATATAGTTTATCATAAACTCAACAAAGGATTTTTCCCATTCTAATGCATGTACTAATTTCCCTTTGTCATGGTGGTTTTTAACTAAAAATGTTAAAATTAAAGCATCAGCCTGCTCATATTTTGTAGTCCCTGTAAGTTGTTCCCCAGGCTTCAAAAACCCGCCTAATGCAATCGCTGGATCTACTGGCCCTCCGTAAGAAGCTAAACATAAATATGGGTTACTGATGCACTGATACATTTCATCCAAATAGGTAACCTGAAATAAATCAAATGGATAATACCAGATTATAGGTTATAATTATTAACACAATAGAATAGTTATCTTCGGGGTACCGAAGATTAAGGATTACCTTGCAAGCATATAGAATTGCAAAATATTAACGACATTTCAAATTTTATGCAAGCAAGTATTTAGAACAAAGTTCGACTGCTGTTACGTCAGCTCAGTAATAGTAGTGTAGTAATGAGCCTGTTTGTGTGTATGAATATGTCTATCATATAAGATGTAAGAGCCAGGCATTTGGCATTTAGAACATTATCGATAAGAATCGACAACAAAGTACTTGGTTTGAGCACTAACCATAAATTGTTTGGTTACATTGTTTGGTTAGTGGTTTGAGCATTATCTCGGAATTTTTTTATACCTCCCCGCGTCAGATATTTGAAAAATAAACTTTTGGAGGTATAGTCTTAGATTGAATATAGTTACTCATATATAGAATATTTTTATTTTCTCCAAATTTGCATTTAAATTGTGGCTTGAATTGGTGGGCAGTATTAGTACAAATTGGTTTATTTCTTTATTTATAGCTATGACGTATTAGAGAGGAGGTGGTGATAGCTATAAAATGAAAGATACTTGATATATTCGTACAAATAGAAGCTACATGTCAAATTTGGTAAATTAAGCTCTTATTATTTAACAAATTTGCTCAAACTGAATTTCGATATCCATTTTTATCGAGTACTTGGAAAAGACAGAGGATCTTTGACCCTAGAGTGGAGAGCATCATATTACCATCATTGAACATTTAGCTTGGACTGGTCAAAACATTGGTAAGACGGATGTAAGCAGCTTACCAATATATTTTGTTAACAACGTTTTGCCCCTTTTATTCCGCCATCAGGGTTTAATTTGTCACTCGAATTTCAGTGCACTCTCACTTTCTTTATGGAAGGTCTAGGGGAAGGCAACGACGAACACGAAGGTTGATTTAAGTAGCAAATCAATTCTATGGAGCTTTTGTATCAGAGAATTTGAAGTGCAATCAGTATGGTTTATGTGAAAATAAAACTTGCGTACAAGTCAGCCATGTCGTCAATGACTGTCTTCTACTCCAAACAAAAAATAGCACTTATTGTTCTCCAGTCACGTCCATCACAGCGGAATTGCAATGACTCAGCTCTGTTGTGTAATGACCGTGTCGACCGAAAGTCCCAAGATTAGTTACCCAAAGTATCAAGAAATTTGGAAATAATAAAGATCAGTTTTAAAATTGCATTCACGCCACTTAGAAAGTTATTATTTGGACAAAACCAATACACACCATATAGTAAACTCAACGTTATTAGGTCTTAAATGAAAACGTTTAAGCACTTTACTGGCGCAGTCGAAATCAAATACAGAAACTACAAATACAACTATAATGTCTTAAAAGTAAAATCTTCTTCTAGACATTCATGCAATAAAGGACTACCAAAAAAAATATTATTTAGACAACATAAACTAGTGATACATTTACAATTACAGAAAATCCTTGTAACAAAATTGTGAGGGTTTTTTTTCGATCAATTTAACGGCTGGTGGGTCTGTAAAATGCTCAGAAATTTTCTAGCATCCAGCATCGTATTTTCAATAAAGGTCAAAGCTCCAACATATTTGTTAGAAATACACCCCCAACCATCACTGATTTACCGAATTCGACTGTTGGTTTTGTATTGCGGTTTTCCTACGCTGTTAGTGGCTTTTCCAGTCTCTGGATTGCCCATCATTATAGTATAGCATTATTTTGCTTTCGTCACAGAATATATACTTACATGGGCTTGAGCGAACGTAAGTGGCTTTTAAATATTGGCCGCTGAAAGTAAGGGTTTATTCCTGGCAAATTGTGATGTGGAGTTATTCAAATTTAGCAGTTTTATGTAAAACATCAACACCAGTTACTTCCTGGAACTCCTGATCAATATTCCTAAGCGAAATTCGTGGATTTTTCTCAATTTTCTAAGAATTTTTCGCTTATCTCAGTCAGAAATTTTCAGGGACGATGACTTACCGCTTTTGCTTCTAGCCTATCTTCCTTATTGCCTCTGTTTAATATATTGTAAATCGTTGCTTTGGATAAATTAAACATATCAGCCATCTCCGAGACTTGACATCCCATCTGATGGTTATAATACACCAGCTGAGCGATTTTTTCCTAGCATAACAAAATTGAAGCCAAAAATAACTAGAAAAGTCGAAGATTCAAGAGAAGAAAAACGCATGGGCCGAAATTTAATGGGATCGTTCAGAGGCGAACTGCAAAACAATTTACTATAATATAATATTGTAATAATTGAATGTTTTTAGTTTTTTAATTCTATAAAATGTTTGGATAAAGTTTTATTATAATTGGCGCTATATTCTAGGAAAAATAACGAATCGAAACAGATTAGATATGAAATATGTAAGAGGTTCTAGTCAGGAGCTCCCGACTAGGGGATACCCTGAACTCTCTTCTTCCAACATCAAATGCATATATATATTCTATTTTAGAAGCTATATTTCAAGTTTGGGGACTCTAGCTCTTATTATTTACCAAAATTGCCCAAAAAACAGGATATCCATCTGCGCAGGCACTAGGAGCACCTACATCTAAAATTTCAAGTCTATAGCTCTTATATGTTCTGAGATCCTTGCGTTCATACATACGGACAGACGGACGGACGAACGGACAGACAGACCGACATGGCTAGATCGACTCGGCTATTGATGCTGATCAAGAATATATATACTTTATGGGGTCGGAGATGCTTCCTTCTGCCTGTTACATACATTTGGATTTTGCACAAATACAATATACCCTTATACCCATTTTTAATGGGTTCAGGGTATAAAAATATTCCCACTTATTGGTACATATATGTTCAAATAAACCTAAAATGTGATTTTGCTTGTAAAAACATTTTTTTGACATACTGTATATATCTCTATCAATGGAAAAAAAAAAAAACTAATTACTAACTGGATTTTCAAAAAAATTATAAAAAAGATTAAATCTTGTATTTTATAGTACATATGTACGTATTGTATAGTACATGACACCACATATCGCATACCGGCTGAGGTACACTTCAAACATACAGAAATCTGAGGTTTATCCATCCAGGCATGAACTTTGGTATAATTAGTTTATCTAATTATATGTCTCAGTACTCCTGATAAAGTTGTGGGAAAAGGGCAGTAGAAAGATCGGCGCCGTACAGCTCTAAACGTAATAGTGAAACCATCTTGAGTGATGCGACTCTCGTCTTGAAAAAATTACTGGAAATACAAAACTTTGTCTCGCTTTGTCTGCAAGTACACAGCTTACACACATTTTAGAACGCGCGAATAATTTTAATTAGTAGTAGCTTGCCATCGAGTTTAAGCCACGCTAGCGTCTTCGATTTCTGGGAAACCCTTGGAATATCTTTCAACATTTCTCTCGTTTTAGATGCGCAAGTTTTTAATCGAAACCCTACATTATCCAGTGCTGTATCCTTTTCTTGCAGATCACTAGCAAGTTTATATAGGACCCAGTTCGCAAAGATGTCTGTATTGAGTTAAAAGTCGCAAAGTTCTTTATTCTTTATTTTTCTAAATGTGGATCCTTTTACAAAGATTTATGGGTTAAGAATGACTATATTGCGTTGATTGCAGTGCCCGAAACTGGGCCTGAAAGAATCTAGCTGAAAACTGAGAAACCTGCAAGGTTCGACTCTCGTGGCTCAGCTTTGGGCTGATACTCTCAGCAATCATACTCTCTATATTCAAAGGACGCAAGCGCTCGTGGGACTCACTAGGAACAGACATTCTGTCAATCACTTAGAGTTTGATTTCAAGTTTCTATAATTGCATGCTTAGTGGTAAAAGTCAATGAAAAGTCATGTGCCCTACCCTCAATGTTGTAAACAATCCTGTTAATCCTTATTGTTACATGCATAAACTTGGTATTCAAGGTGTACTCTAAAGACAATAAGCAGATTAATAGAAGAAATCTAAGTCGTGCAGAAAGCTTTGACAATTTCTAACAAAACAAGAAAGAGGTTTTAGTCGGGAGCTCCCGACTAGGGAATACTAGGAAATAATAAAAAAAAAGTTTCCTTGGCAGGGTTTGAACTCACAACTGACCTCATTACTTGCTGTCGACTCTACTCAATAGCCACACCAGCAAAAAACGAAAAATACTCTCCCGGGTATGCCTCTACTCAGCAGCCACACCAATAATTAAGTACTTATAAGAAAGAAAAACAAGAAACTAATATCGCATTACAGAAAAAAATCGCAATTACCATGCTGTTAGAATGCGAAGCAGACGCGCATGAATGTGTGTGTGTACATGTATACAGAACTTCATAAAGTATTCGCAAGCTGTCCCATCCAATTGCGCAGTTACATATAACGTTGGTTTTTTCTTAACCGATCTTTATGAAATTTTGTACAGTATATCTTATAGTAGCATACAATATTTGTGTACTCTCATATTTGCATTTAAATTGTGGCTTAAATTGTTTGGCAATACAAGTTGGGTTATTAACTTGATTTATAGCTCTGCGGTGGTAACGGGGAAGTGGCGATAGGTGTAAAATGAAAGATGCTTGACATATACATAATATTCTAAAAGCAACATATGTTTGGTAGCTCTAGCTTTTATTATTCACCAAATTTGCCCAAGAAACAGTATTGTCTATATCGATTTTTATCGATTGCTTGGAAACGGAGTAATTTATCGATTATCGGAAACAAACCTGATCTGCGCAGGCAGTAGGAGGACCTACATCTAAGATTTCAAGTCTCTAGCTCTTATAGGTTCTGAGATACTTGCGCTTATACATACGGACAGACGGACATGGCTAGATCAACATGGCTATTGATGCTGATCAAAAAAATATATATATTATGTGTTCAGAGATGCTTCTGCCTATTACATACATTTGCATTTTGCACAATACAATATACCCTTTTTACCCATTTTTAATGGGTTCAGGGTATAAATATATAGAATATTTTTCCCTATACATAGTATAGTAAAGCTAATTCGGCTTCATTAAGTCAATAAACATGACTCAAACGACAGAATTTTTCACAATGACAGCCTTATCGCTGATCCCAAACTTCGACGATGGTAAGGCCGAAAATTTGAGCTATCTCCTGGATAAGTTTTAGTTATTCGACTTAATTGTATTTAAAATTAATAGATACCATGATAATGTTTATGAAGAAACAATAGGAGTGGCTACATAAATAATCAAAATAATAGCCACGGCAGCAGTAACAACCGGCAAGAGTGTAAAAGTGGTGAAAATAACATTTTTAGTCGACACACAGGTACTGATTTATCATAACTATAATGCAGAAATTATATGAAATGTAAATGTACTATGCAATCCAGATGCGAATGCAATTCATATTCAAAGAACCGAACTAATACCAATTTTTATCTTGCAATTGGGTCTTGAGCAGTCTCAGCTGGTTTGGCAGAAGCTGTTGTGCTTGGGATTGTGATTAAGACTTCGGTTTAGTATATTTATGTATTATGATTTTCATCATTGTTAGTATAACTCAAAATACGCATCTTACTTACTTAATCTATACTATGCATTCTATGCACAATCATTAACGAATTATATATACTAGTTATGTATTTAACGAACATGCTTATATGCATATAGTGGTGACTACAACTACTGATTTTAATATTTAATTGTTTGGATAATCTTGCGGTTTAAATATAAATACGGTTGAAAAAAAAATTAAATGAAGCAAAAAACTATCTATAATACTTACATTAAATCCATTATCCTCATCATTATCATCAAGTCGGCTTATATCATCTTGGAAATAGCCCCAAATAGATTGAATAACGCAATCTGAAGCTTTTACATAACTATTGTCATCTTTTAGGGGAGCATAGCATATATTATTTAAAAATGTTCCATTTGCGTCGATATTTTGTATTTGCTCCTGTAGATCCAGTACATCAGATAGAAAATCTTTTCCAAATATTGGACCAAACTTTATTGGTCCGTTCGACGTATTATGTAAAATGTAGGGCAGATCTACAGCTTTAATTATTACCTAAAGCATAATAGAAATGATTATTGTATTGCAAGTTTAAATTTACTGTAAAATATAATCGCACATTCCAGTTGCTACAACTGATACTCTACCCGTGACTTACACTGTTACATGAGCATATGTACCAGGGTTAGAGGGTTAGAGTTTAACCTGGCGCACACATCAATTTTGTATTTTACCTTACCTGCTCAATTCTAAAGAAGGGTTCAAATTTTGAATCGAAAAACTCCCTTTCCATTCTAGATTTTGAACTTGGCGAAGCCCAAAGTTGTACTGGATCTGTAGTAATCTCCACAAACGTAATACCATAGCCCAACATCACCACGATGCTTGCACATGCAAACAAAGTAATCCATGGATATGTTGCAAAAAATGTACCCCATTTAGTAAATATGTTTTCCAAGAAATATTCTGTGCGCGCACCAAGTTTTTCAAAATATCTTGGCTGTTGTCTGTACATAGAATCGTCGGTTACTTCTTCATTGCCAACGTGAAAATCTTCATCTAAAATAAAAGAATTTTTGTTGGATATATTATTACACAATCAATTGGAAGAGATTTCATCGAGGGTGCTAAACTATGCTACCCTGTATACAAACTGAATTGTCCTGACATAGATTCGTGTCACTTAAATAAATACCCAAATTCACACATAATCACATTCCCTGCGCCAACGCAATGTTTTTTATTCTCTCAGTTAACCGGCTGTAAACCACGCCGAAAACGACCTTTTCTGCCAACGTGGAAATTTATATTGTTCAAGGACTTTAGAGTGAAGAGATCGTTTCAATATATTGCTACATCTTCAGGTCATAGTGGCTACAAAGTGCATCTTCCACGATCTGGAATAGAGGCTTGCCAAGTTTCTAACTCTGAAACCTGCTTTTGGACATTCGGCTGTTGTTTGTTTATCACAACAACCTAGAAGTCGTTTGGTCTGACTGACTGCCTGAGTTGTTTCACCGACTCTAGATTTACATATTAATAATAAGACGTACCTAGAATAGACAGGCGAGCTGGATACCTTTCTGTCTAGTGCGTGCAGCACATCATTGCACACTAGGCGTGAAATACTTGAATTTTTCTCTAACGTTACCTGATACTGGGTCCACAAAGTGTATATGCACATTTTAGATGGCAGATAGACTCGCTCTTACTGCGTGGCTGAGTCTTAAATTGGATATTATACCGGTATTCTAGGTGTGCTCTTATTTTGTCTTAGTACTCCTCAGCATTTACTAGATGGTACAACTCTTTAGATATTTAGTGCCCGCTTTGCCCAAAAATAACTTTCGGTTCTCTTACTCAGATCTTCTAAAATGTAGATGGTGCTTCTTAACTGAAGATTGTCTGAGAGGGGATAATTGGATTAATAGCAAGGAGTGATTAAATGGACCGAAAGCCTTAGAGCCATATAGCATCTGAGAAGTAAACGCAAGGTTATTGGAGGCAGATCTAAGTTGTAATTTCCAAGCCAGGCAAATGTGCCACGGAGTGCATCGCAGCGGTAAGTTGTGTCGGGTAAGTTCAGACAGACACTCGTGATGACTGCCAATTGGCTAAATCTGAAGCAACTTTCTGGAGACGGGTAAAAGTCTGTTATGGCTTTAAGTCCAGCGTTTCAGTGTATTCTGCGGCGCCGAAGAGTAACTCCAATTAATGCAGTTGGAGCACTGTGGCTTTGTGTAATTTCTACTGTTCACACCGGGCTACTACCATTTGAATTGCTTTAGGATGCCTTACAACTCGTTCTTCCGTCGAAGCAATATCCACAACGTTTCCATGTTGGGTGAAAACTAAGTTCCCTTGTAAGCTTTTTAAGTTTATTATTTGTTTGCTTGGTGGTGTCCTGTACGTGTTGTCTTTTCAAGCTTGCATATGCAATACCGATGGGCAGACGCTAATGAATTGCTTTGGGGTATCCTTTAGCAGATCGTCCGCTCTATCAAGTTCTGTTCGTTCCTCAGGTTTGGTAATTGCACCTGCAAAACCAAGCCTGAGACTGGCACAGGGGCCAAGATCGAACTATACAGGGGTGGAATACGTGTTTTCGTAGGGCTGGTTTTTTTTAGCTTAATGATTTAACTCTACAAGTCAATGGGTTCCAGCTGTACGATTGTGCAAGCCTTAATGTTGCCATTAAAATCTGTATAATTGTCAGTACTCGCTTTTTGACGTGTGCGCCCCAATTGATTAACTAGCAAGGTCTGGAATGCTTCCCTCGTTATCAGAATAAGTAATCTGATAACAAAATCGGAAACTAAGATATCGGAAAATTATCACATATAACAGCTATCCCCCTCAATTTTCACATAATCCTAAGCAATTCTTTAAGTTTGTTAGCTCCAAACGCCAGACATCTATTCTGCGATGTTAGTAAGTATGAAGACAAGAGTGCGAACACTGATCTACGCACTGATCCTTTCGCAAACTTTTTTAAACTAACTACTCCTCCTCTAGGTAAAATACAAATCAGCCTTATCCACATCACAGACGGTTACTTGCATCTTAAATCCTCTTGGTATTAAAAATTTGCTACTCTGCGACCGTAGCACAATCCAACCAACATACTCACCGGGCCCTAATGGTGCGTATTTGATAACTTTTTATATTATCTCTAACATTTCATGGTTCCTGAACATATAGAAAATGTCGTTTATAATTCCTCTCCAGAAGAAAGTAGTTTAATCGGATGCTTAAAATTATACAGGAATTTCGAAATTGTCTGCTATTCTTATCTTACCAGTACCTTTATGCAGCTGCATTTTATCACCATCCCAATGTGGGTTCGTGACATGTAGATCTACAACCACTGATGTTATCGACTTTACTTCCCTAGAAGTACTGGTTTTATATATACCGATTTTATAAAGGCTTACGATTCCGCTAATCACTCCTTAGTGCTTCCGCTAAACACTCCTTTTCGGGTTCCCAGTCAACCTTCTGAACTAAATCTTTAATTCAGTAACAGAACGCAAAATCTGGCTTTTCGCTCATAAAACACTAGGCGTACGCATGCATATGTCGCAATGCGTTGATGCTGACCCGACCAAGGAACTTGCTTTCATCAACAAGGCTTGCTTGTCGATGATACTCTGTTTTTTCGTATTTTTGCAGTATTTCAAAGCTAAATTGAGCGAGAGAGTTTTGTATTTAAGAATATTGTTAGTACTTTTGCTACGATTGTTAAAGACAGATTTCACATACTTTTCTTTTCAGCATAACCAAGTTTGTTCTAAACATCCCTAATACAATAGCCAACATAAAATACTTTTACTCTTATTTCTGCAAAGTTTATACCAGAGAGAAGTTATTGTCTCAGCCAATGGCTATGTTTGTATGTGTGAATAATGCATGCATGAGTACATCTTAATATGTATATGTGTTATTATTCACTGCAGTAGCTTTTGCTGCCGACGAAATTAATTTTATTATTCTTGTGCCATGTGGGTATCATATGTGATTGTTTATGTGTTTTCAAATAATTGAGAACATAGTAGATCACAACTAATTTTAAATTAGTCAATAAAAGCATTTTTTGCATAATTGAATACTCACCACTTATCGAGTCTTTGGTAAATAAAAATGTTCCCAATAGAAAGACAACTGTTCCAACAGTAAAAACAACCGTCATAATGACCGTAAAAGCGTCGAATCCTGCTATTTTAAGTTGGTTAGGTGTAATTGGTTCTTCTGGAGCTTGGGGGCATGACAAATCACAATCAGTACAGGAGCACGCAGGCAGTTCACTCTAAAGGGATATATAAGATTCATTCAAAAAAAAAAACGAAAAGGTATGGATATCTTCGACACTCCGAAGATTTAATGATACGTCAGAAAACATATCTATGCTAAATATAATATGCAGTGTATGATGATCATAGTGCAACCAATAAACCCCGAATTTAGTCAAATTATCTCCATATATAAAACTGTTTGTCCTGACTGACTGACTGACTGATTGGTGATAAATGCGCAGCTCAAACCGTAAGCACTGGAAGCTGAAATTTTCACTGTAGTTACCTTATGTGATGAAGGTGCACGTTAAAGCGGGGTTTCGGGAAATGCCAACCGCTAGTATGGAAAAATCGCGAAAACGTTTGTATGAAACTTTTTTGTTTACCATCCGATGGGCCTCAAACTCAATTTTAAAGTTCTTTGTTCAAATTCATTTGAGGTGTGTTTCACACTTTTCCAAAAATGTATTCCTCCTTAGTGGAAATAGGGTGACGTTTCGCGCTCAAATTCATTTTCAAAGCTCTATATGAAAAATCATTTGAGACTTGTTTCACATTTTTCGCAAAATCTAAACTCCTTCGGTAGAAATGCGATTCAAAGATTTTTTGGGCGAAGTTTTAAGTGGTGTCTGATTTGCTTCAAACTTATTTTTAAAATTTTATAAAATAATATAATGAATACGTGTTTCAGTGATTTGGGAAATTCCACTCGAAACAGTGGTAAAATGACGGAAAACGTTTGTATGAAAGTAGTTTGTTTACTGTCCGCTCAGTTTTAAAATCATTTTCAAAGCTTTTCGAGAACATTGATTTTATAACATAAGTACCACGGGCAAGGCCGGGCTGAAGGACAGTAGTCTGGTCAAGCAACGATATTTCCCGAAAATCCTAGTAATGCAAAAATATAGTAAAAAACTGGGAAAGCTGCTGCATATGGATGTACCAAAGACAATATAAACACTAAGATGAGTAACGCCCATACATCTGAATGCGACGCAAAATTTCTAGCCTGGCCTTTCAGGCCTTTGAGGCTTCGTACGGCATGCCTGTCGACTGGTTGTTCGTTCTCCAAAGACCAGACGAACGAATGCTGAAGTCGCGGCTTGCTGATGCTGCCACGAGCTACGAAGTTAGTCGCCAGCCTGCCTTGCGCAATAACTATATTAAGAAAATAACACACATAGATTGATTTCACTTTTTTTTTTGGACAGTGTATGCTCAACAAAAGTTCTTGTCTCAGCCAATAGCATGCGTGCACCTTTCGTTGTATGCGTCAATTATACATGCATAAGAACTTTAAAGTATGTATGTATGTGTTGTTATTCACTGCTCTGGATTTAGCTGGCAAGAAATTAATTTTATTAGTTTTCTAGCGCAGATCATGACCTATCCCAAATTTACTTTGATATATGAATGCATTTTGTGTACTAAGGTTAGCTCCGCAGAAAATATGTATTTCTAAGTCGATGCAAATATTTACATAATTTCTTTAAATTAAATTAATATTATTTTTATTCTCCAATTAAGAAATAAAAGAGTGCTAAAAAATACAATTACATTTCAAGTCGACTCGAAGGTCAAATTTAGTAATGACCCCATTATAATTATATTGGCCTTCTCGCGGTGCTCCCTGCGTACTTTGTTCTTTATAATTCGAACAAAAAATAACAAAATAAAATAATACAAATTAATTAAATGTATCTTTGAAAACAACGAATTTGCACTTTTATTTCCTTAATTTATTTTGTATTATTTAAAAATAATAATAATTTAATTAATAATTTCAAATATAAAAAATTACATAAATATTTGCATCGACTTAAAAATACAAATTTTTTTGTACGGAGCCAACCTTAGTACACAAAATGCATTCATATATCAACAGAAATTTTGGGTAGGTCGTGAGGTCGTTTCTTTGCCAGCCAGAGACTTTGCCAGAGCAGTGGATAACAACACATTCAAATATGCTGTTATGTATGTATATTCACACGCATACAAACATAATTGCATGCACGGCCCTCATAGAGCCGAAGCTGAGAGAAAATTCTATTTTTAGCTTTTTCGTTCTCTCGGCTGTGAGAACGCAATGCTACAGATTTCGCTTTCGTTCTCAATTTTCAAAAAATCAAGCTGCATAGTAGCATTTTGTTGTATGGTGTTACTCATCTTAGTGTTTATATTGTCTTTGGATGTACCCTCTCCCGCGAATTATTCATATTCTAGCATGATTACGGAACGCGCGATTAATATTAATTTTGGAGCTCAACAGGTATCAGGTAGTACAGGGGAGGTGGTGATAGCTATAAAATGAAAGATACTTGATATATATGTACTATTCCAGAAGCTACATGTCAAGTTTGGTGACTCTAGTTCTTATTACTTACCAACGTTGCTCAAAAACTGGATTTCTATATCGGAAGCGGAGTAAGTTATCGATTAACGGAAACAGACTCATTCATACTAGACTAGAAAGACCTAAAGCTAAAATGTCTCTAGCTCTTATAGGTTCTGAGATCCTTGCGCTCATACATACGGACGGACAGAAAGACGGACATGGCTAGATCTACTGGGCTATTGAAGCTCATCAGGAATATATATACTTGATGAGGCCTGAGATGATTCTTTCTATCTGTTACATGGATTTACACAGGTGCAGGTGTATTGTTAGTGCGTGTGTGTTTGACACAAATTTTACAAGCTACTCGTTATATAAAAAGTATGCTAAGCTGTTTCGTCTGGACATCGTCGCTACATATTTTGGGGGCTGAAGTTCAAGATTACGTAAGCACGAAACATTTATTTTATTAATCCAGGATGGAATAAAAGTTACAACCCCAGCTAAACTGAAAATTTTACCAAGCTGCAATGGTATTGTGTTTCATGGAGCCGAAGTCGATTCTCAGCACCCGAGAGAAAAGTTGTACGGAAACCAGTAAACGAGAGACTGAAGCAGGGAAAAATATCAGAGTTATGCTCAAACGTAGCAAGAAAAGCACTTACAATCAAGCACTTAAAGACTCTGCATGCCTCAATTTTAATACGTTAGATTAAAAGGGCACATATTCAGTCGCTATTAAAGAAGTTTTTGCAGAATTCTAAAAATTTCAGTAATGGATCTCAAACATGGGTTTTTCCATGTGGAAGTAGAGAAAAGCATATACAGTGTTCAGTGCAAAAGCTTGGCTAAGGCACCGTTTAGTTTTTGCAATTGCAGTCAAAATATCAGACAAATTCAGAATATTTACTGAACACATAATCAACAACAACAAAATTATGAAGCTAATGAGCAACCACCATCTGAAGCAATAAGTGAAAATAATTAAAATGAAATAAGAAATCGTATTAAGGGAACCATAGATGTATCTCTAATACTGGTAGACACTGGATGAACTATTAGTACTCTAAACACAAAAATGTACATGCATCAAAAGATAAAAAACTGTAATATTTTCTAAAACCATATCCACCATTATAAAATGTAAAACAACAATTACGAAGAAAAAGTAGATTCAATATACAGAATATGCAAGGTTCAGATGGGTAGCTGTGCTCATTTATAAATGAATAAATATTCAAATAAGCATGGATTTTATCCAACGATACGATAATTTTATCAATGGTGTTGAAATTCTATTCCTGCTCAAACAATCAGAAGAAATTTGCTTTACTGGAAATATCATTTCCAGTGACGTTCAGCAACGTCTTGAATGCGACTCCAAGGACATTCTTTCGATCAACGAACTTGGTGCCATGTGACATAGCGGTGTGGTGGAATGTGACATAGCCGTCTTTATTTTAAATCATCCTTGTGGACCACCAATGTTCTATGTTCTCCGGTCCATCGTCTGTGCTAACTCATGCGTGGTGATGGGTGATAATCATTCTGCCATCGTCAACTAATGTCATAGTCTTAAGATTGCTAGCCTGAGTGTGACACAGCGCATGCCGCATGTATCCCGCTGGGGTATGTGTTGTGGGTCGTCAAAAAGTCAGTAACAGCCATAATTTAATCGGAGCATTCCACAACAGTGTGCTTTTTCAACTGCTGCATGGGGTTATTGTGAGCCACGGAAAAAATTATAACTTTCTTGCTTTACTTGTAGATAATCGAAAGATATGTGGACTATGTTATCAGACTGAAAGACTTATATTGGATACTTCCATTAGTCTTAATATAAGCACTTCTGTTGGATGTCGAACTAGAATAGACTGCAAATCATTGCATTCTAGGATAGTGGGGTCTAAAAGTTAGGTTTGGCCAGAGTGATTAACAATATTAAGCTCTGAGTTTCTGTGATAAGCATACTATTTCTGGACAGCAATGACTCGAATAAGTGAAACGTATCCGTCACCGTGCCCTTTTTATACCCTGAACCCATTAAAATGGGTATAAGGGTATAATGTATTTGGGCAAAATCCAAATGTATGTAACAGGCAGAAGGAAGCATCTCCGACCCCATAAAGTATATATATATTCTTGATCAGCACCAATAGCTGAGTCGATCTAGCCATGTCCGTCTGTCTGTCTGTCCGTCTGTCCGTCCGTCCGTCTGTCCGTCTGTTCGTATGTATGAACGCAAGGATCTCAGAACCTATAAAAGCTAGAGACTTTAAATTTTAGATGTAGGTGCTCCTAGTGCCTGCGCAGATCGAGTTTGTTTCCGATAATCAATAACTCACTCCGTTTCCAAGCAATCGATTAAAATTGATATCGATATCCTGTTTTTTGGGCAATTTCGGTAAATAAGAAGATCTAGAGTCACCAAACTTGACATATAGCTTTTAAAATAAAATATATATATGCATTTAATGTTGGATGAAGATGGTTCAGGGTATCCCCTAGTCGGGAGCTCCCGACTAGAACCTCTTACTTATTTTCTTTATTTATCTACTCATGTGTTTCGATATTAATCACCACTTGTCTGTTGTTTGTTTCGATGAGGAGTCACTCGGACATTCTAACTCTTTCAGTGTCTGCGACATCTAGGGTTCTCGACACTATTTTCGTCATTGCTACGAGTAAGTCCATGCTCCTATACAATTAACAACGGGCATATACATTATCCACGCAGAAGTTCCTGAGTCTGCCTGAAGGATCTCTTTAGAGTGGATCTCTTTAGTGTTATTATCTCTTGGAGGGCTTCATCATCATATGTGAAGTAGATAATGTGTCGCAATTTTACGAAACAATAAAATCCTGCGCTACATCGCATTCTATTTCATTTTGTAGGGTATTTACATTTTGATGCGAACACTCATCCGCCATTTAATTTCCTTTATCTGACCTGATTTGCAAACAATTTTCTTTTGATTTCCGAAACTGCAAAAATCAAAGGCTAGTGTTCTGCTTCATAAAGGTAACTTTCTTATGAGAAGACGGCTCCAATACTGGTCTCAATTAAAATCATTAATTGGCTTACATCCAGTTGCCTTTGAATAAACGGCAATCGAGAGCGTCCTCTACCGTAATCGTTGTCGTCATATGTAGCCGACGCTGATAATTCTGAGAATCCTGGTTCTTAGCTTGCTTGATATTGCTTAACCTTTGGTGCATCCGGCCGGTTATACGGTCAGAATTATTTTGTCGTTTTTGGTAACGATTAAGTATAGCATTGGTGTTGCTATTTTGAGGATTCCAATTAGGGTAGGTAGGCTGCCTACACTTAGTTACTGATGCAGTAATGGTTGCCTCTGATGTTCCCTACCGTTTGATGTCTGGTTACCTTCACCCTGTTGTGGCCTGCTCTGACCCTGTCCTCTGATAAAGAGAATTTTTTGAAACTTCGTTTGTTTTTACTCTTTTTTCCCTACCTGTCATTTTTGCGATTCTGTTGCCTATTACCCTCAGAAGCATTACTTCTCTCTTCCATAGCTTTGCCGTATAAGTTTCCGAACATATTTTGCTTCTATCAATTCTTCTCTTAGCTTATCTAGCTGAGGTCAATGCAGCTGGCAAATCCATGCGCTATGATATAGACTTTAATGATTGCATTGCTTCTGATAATTTTACTTGTCACTAGTATCAATTTTTTCCATCTCCCTTTCTAGTCCTTGTTATAGGACAAGAAGTGAAGTTTTGTCTGCATAGGCGCAGTCTAGCCTGGTAATTATGGCATCAAAATTCGGTATCGTTTTATCGTGTTACTAATACCTCTCTTGCTGTTCTTGTTTCTTATATAGTGACAGCTTTGTAATGCGCATCCCTACCCCTGGCTTACAAATTTCGTACGTATTTACGGCCGACTGCCAGAACACGTACTCACATTCTTCCCCCTCAAATTCGGGTATAGACTCTACTAAGTCTAGCCTAACTTCACACCTAATTTTGGAGCCGGCAGTTATTGTCCTATAAACTTCTAGCTGACTTGTCGCCTTACAGAATACATTTCTGCATAAAGCGTCCGCTTTAACCGATTTTCTTGTTCAGTTAGTGAACTATTAACAGCTCCATTGTTGGATCGTTTTGCATGTAATCTGCACCTATGTCTTCTGAAAATACGCGAACATCACTGTCGAATTCTTGAAAAACTTTATCAAAACTGCAAAAAGAGAAATATTGTATTAAAAGGAATTAGCTTGTAACAATTTTGAAATTGTGAAAAAAACTATTTACTGCAACATTATCAAACAAAAACCTAAACATAAAATTCCTATAATCTTTAATAATAAATATGGAATGATTGAGTTGGCTATTGATGATGATCAAGAAAATATACACTTTATGGGGTCGGAGATAATAAATACATTTTACTCTTTTTACCCAGTTCACTCGATTTAAGATATAAAAAGTCAAAAGTGGAATCATTAATTAAACCTTAAGCCTATAAAAGAAGTATGGTAGGTTTAAACGTAATCGTAACTCTGACATTCGTAAAAATAATGTATTTGAAAAAATGCAGTGTTTAGTGCTAATACTAACGACGAGTTTTAGCTTCAAACTGGTGACTACATTGACCAACCCAATCTATTAGTCGCATTTCACAAGCGAGTATAAAAAATTAATGTTCCTACGAAATTCGAATGAATGAAACTTACATTTACTGCTTCATTGCATGGTATTGTTTTTGGATTCAATGGGGTAAATTCATTCGTGGTCGAGTTTGTTGGATGTTGAATATATGTTATTTGAAATGGAACATATACATTATTGACATCTCCCATATAGGTAAACCATTTTGTAGGACTGCATCGTGATGCTCCATAGGTCCCGCACATCAGATCCAATGCCAATTGACCGGTTTGTGGAACAGATACCTGAAAGTAAAAATATTCGCCAATTTACAAATATAACTTTTTGGAATTATGTATACTTTATTAATTTTATTTTATTAAAATATTTTTTTTTTTTTGTTACATTAACAGACTTTTAAATTGGTGTATGTGGAAAAATGTCTAATATATCTATAATAAAACAGACCTTTAACAAAAGGATAGAGAGATACAACAAAAAAAAATATATGTAGTGATACCATTAACATTCTTTTCCCAAAGGGACATAATAGAAAACAAAAAAAAAAAAACAAAAAGCATTTTAATATAAATAAATAAAAAATTACTTAATGAAATTGTTTTGCATTAGATTTCATTGTTCTATAAAATATTCGTAAATTTGTAATTTTTAAATTGATGAGTACATCCAGTTAAATTACTTATTTGATATACAGTACGAACAGACAGACAGGCGAAGATGGCTTAATAAACTTGAATATTATTTCTGGTCAAGAATATAAATACTTTACGGTTTCGGAGATTCTCTATATAGTGTGAGCAAGTGGGAGTCGTTAAATTAACGATGTATAAAATACCTTTGACAGAAGCCGAACTTCAGCTGTTGAAGTCCAAAGTAAATCAAGTAGCTCCAGTGTGTTGTTATCGTATATTTCAAATCATATCGATGCTTTGTGTTGAACCGATACATAAATTTCTCTCTCATGACTTTTCAAATTGTGCTTTACTTTCTATCGGCATTAAGCGGCATGTTGATGCTGCGCATCTCTTCTTCATAATAATTAATCTAATACTATTTTTACTCATTACCAAACCCAGATTTTGTTTCTCTATGGCCCCTACACAAAATGCAAAAATCATATCAAAATCAATCTACTATATAAATTAGTTGCGATCGGAACGATCGGTTTATCAAGTTATCTTACCCCAAGTTTGCATTTTTAAGTTTTATTTTACCCTATGTATGCTTGTATTTTATATGTTATCACCATCCGATAACTACATCATATAGTTGCAATAGGAACAATCCTTTAAAAAGTTGGTTCTAATATGGAAACCTTCTTATACCCTTGCAGAGGGTAATATAGTTTATTGTGAAATGTGTAAAACAAAGGAGATATCTCCGACTCCATAAAATTCACATATTCTTGATCATTATCATCAGCCGAGTGGATATAGCGGTCCATCTATCTGTTTCTAGGCGAACTTGTCTCTCAGCTTTAAAGCTTTCTTTTTGAAACCTTGCAAAAGTGGTTCTTTCTGTTGGACGCAACACATATGTCGGAACCAGCTGAATCACTATATCATATAGCTGGTATAGCAATCATCGGTCGAATAGTACGTTCTTGTACTATGGAGTACTTCAAAATCTCCTTATGTTCCTTCATGCAGATTGCATATGTCAGCGAAGATGTAATATTTGTTACTTTATTCCTGACATTTTCGCCATTTATTTTTCATATTAGGAGCAATTCTTTGCCTTTGGGTGTCACTTTCACATATTGAATACCCCAATTTTCAAAAGAAGTGGGATTTTTCTCTATGAATACCTGCTTGTGGTTCGATTGATTTCGTAGTGAATCTTAAGCAGTCTTCTATCGATATTAAAACACTTTGTCTTTGTTGTCTTTCACAAATATGAATGTGGTGTCTCCTTAAGAGAGTTCCGTATACTCTTCAAGATACTTTAAACCTGAAGTAACTTTGGTGTTTAGCCAATCAAATGCTTGTAAGCTGTTTAAAGTGTATAGTTATGACTTTTATAATGCATCATTTATCATTGCTGATAAACTGACAGTTATAACCATAAAGTTCTCTTGGATTCTATACTCTGCTTCATTCTGCATAACTCAAACACTGTTAATGAGGCCAAAAGTGTAATTGAATTTAATAATCGTAGCATTTCAGATGATGCAGTATGTGTTGATGAAGTTTGCTGCTGTGCATATGTTTCACTGGGATATCTACCGAACAAACATTATCATCTGGACCACCAATAGATTTATTGGCAAGTCTCTGCAGGCCTTCTTTTATCGGTAACTCACTTCAATGTGCCAACCAAACGGTGATCGCTAGAAAAGAGCTATGTTCTTTATGTTCTCTTTATATATACCAGAAATCATTGCCTCTTATTTCTATCATAAGACACTTTGTGTCTTATTTCTACAATACCATGCGTTCTAACTCTTTATTTACTCTATTCTATTATTTTTGCAATGAAATAAATACATTATTTTAATATAAAATTAAGGCCATTTCTTTAAGCAACATAGTCTAATATCGTCACTGACAAAATAATCTGTTTGTGGAGACGACGGACGGCCAAGTAGAATACTCCTCGCAACTTGTCGGCAGTTTTATAAGAAATGTTTGTATTCTACTTAAGATTGTTAATTCTAATGTTTAACATGGTTGACACTCTTTTTGTTGGCCATTCATTATATAAATGAATTAAGTTTAACATTAATCTTTATTCTTAACGAAAATCTTAACACTTAAGAACTCAAAAATATAACCAACCTGAGCGCATGACTTATAAGTCTTGTTTATATACTCCTCTGTTATGTGTAAATCCAAAGCAGTCACATAGTCATCACCTGAAAGTACAAATATTGACCAAGTATTTATTGATTGTAATCCTACACCTGTAGAAACCTAGAAGCACCTATATATATATATATAGGGTTTGTTCATTTTTATTAAAAAAAAAAAAACTAAAGTTCAAATAGTTATACCTTTATCATTTTTTTTTGTAGAAGCCACCCTTGCAAATTTTGATTGTTCTGAAGAGCACGAAAACTCGCAAATATGCCGAGCTAAGTTAGCCATACATGATGGACAGCGATCAAGAATAGCAGAGGCCAGTTTAATGTTTTTATTTAATATTTTCACCTAAAAAGCATAAGAAAAAATATTTTTATTTTGCACCTGATTTTTAAGGAGCACTTGTTGATACCTGATCAACGTCACAGCAAAATTTTGTTTGTTTTTCTTCTAGAAGAAAACTACATCTTTCTGCTAACAATTGAAGTCCATCTGGAGGCATTTCTTTTGGTGTACCATTATAGGAACAATATTGATTGTGATAAGAAGAATCGGTATTACAAACTCCATACCAGATACAATCCTGGAAAATATCAATTATTTTATTAGTTAATAACATCAATTAAAATAGTTGTTTATGTGTGCATTAAATAGGCGCATCTAAAACACGTCTAAAGTAGTTTTTGTTTTGTCCATCTGTTCGCCGTCATTTAAGTAAAAGTTTTTAACTTTTAGAGATAATTTCGTAAATATTCGCGTAATTTTTCCTTAATTTTTCGTGAGACGACCACCTCTAAAAGTAGAACCACCAAGAGGCTCGAGTAGGGAGTTCTCGACTAGGGGTACCCTGAACCCTCATATACCAACAATAAATTCAGTAATTAGCAGTGGTAAAAAAGTAATTCAATTGGACTCGAATCCGTACCAACCACACTACCTGCCACCGCCTTTACTCGACAGCCACACCAACAATTTATTTTCAATGAAAAAAAAAACCAACTAATAAATATTTTTAAGCCGGTCTTGATAAAATCGTCTTTTTTGAGCAAATCTCTTAGCTTTTAAGAGATAGCGTCACCCAACTTGACATGTTATAGAATAAAAAGATTGTGTCTTTAAATTTCACGTCCTCAAATATATAGCTATGTTTTTTCATTGAATATAATTTGTTGGTATGGCTGCGAACTGCATTTGCTGTTGGTAGAAGAGGGTGCCACAACCTGAAATCGCGAATCGAATCCGCCTAACGTACATCTAAACATATTAATATTTAATATCCTATATGATGATTTAGAAAATGTATAAATTGATTGGGTCATTTAGCTGTGCAGTTATGTCACTTAGTTCAGACCAAGCTTGATTGAACAAATCGCTAAAATGAGCTAATCATTTTAGTGCAATCTTCTGTCTGCTTTGCATCGTCAGACATGACACTAATTTATAACAAAGTTTTCTGGTTATAAGGGTAGAAATAGAGCACAATAATTCCTGGTGGGTCTAGAGGGAACCATTATAAGTCATCAACAATCAACGTATGTAGGAAGACAACACTGACTACTATCTTAAAGTTAATTGCCATACAATGCATGGTTAGTGGTATAGTCATGCAAATTGTATCCTGTGCTAAATGTCGTTGTAAATAACCGGTCAAACACAAGCAAATTGCTTGACTTTACATATGTAATAGCCGTTGATGCTCGTGGGTTCCCGAAGTTGGTATTACTTAAAATTATCATAAAACATTTCGATTGACCAAAGCTGTGATTACGCTGAGATCATAGTATGCGCAGTCAGTGAAAAAGAAATTACAGAAACATGTTGCCAAGCTATATAATCTATAACTCACCTGCTTCGATGCACAAATGAAAGATATAAGTATCCCAAATATGAAGAATTTCACTTCAGGTGTACTACCCCGTAGTAAAACCATTTTGCAGATTATAACGGCTTAGCTATCATATCTATAAAACAAAAAAAGTAGTTGTTAGACATAATAGCAAAATATAAAAATATATATATTTTATTATAGGTGGGTTTCCTTTTTCTTGCTTTGGTAAAGTGTGCGAATTCAACCCAAGCCCACCTACTACTTAGTATTTTTGTGCTCCATAATTTCAGTTATAGCGGCATCTGTGAAGTAATCTTGGAGCGCAGGTCCGCTACGATAAGGCTGCTGTCAGCGAACATATCCCAACGATACGTTTTAAATTTGACCTAGTAATAGCTCCTTAACATATATAACATCGGATATATATAACACTTTCATAAAAAAAACACGCAAAGTAATAGAGATGATTATTGTATTACATGTCATAGCAAATCTCGTCAAAAAAAAAAAGGATACTGCTTTTCTGCCCATAATATTGCATTTGAGCTTGGCCTCGAAAAACCCAAAAAAGAACACCTCATCAGCCTCAGAACGAACAGCCCCTCAAAATTATCATATTGTAGAAACCATACTCCATACAGTTAAAACAATCATAGACACATTAACCCGCAAATAAACCTAAGAGAAAGAAAAAAAACAATGAAGTGGCCACGGCTACTAAATGATTTACATAAAAACTGTAGATATCTCTTTAATCAAGCCAAAAGGATCAACTGGGATGAAAGCTCTAACTACAAACTTAGTCTTGGATCACTTAAAAGAGGATATACCGATATCGTAAGACTACGGAAGACTGTCGGCTAATGGCCAAATCACGCGACAAATCATTCGTACATCTCCTAAGAGCTTAACTTCTGGGACACAGGAGCAGATAATAATAATGCTCCGAAACTGCAACACGCCGGTGCGACTGGTTCTAATTGGCTTCAGACTATTTTTTTACAAATGATTGAATCCAGATGTCATATGTCTTGCTTAAATTAAAAGAAGCGGATGATTTTACAAGATTTTATAAGAATCTGAACACTCCGGAATGAGGTTACTAGGTTATTAATAAAGTTATCGCTTTTAATATACTCATTCCCCGACGATACCGCTGGACAACAGCAATTCAGGCCTGGATCTAAACTGAAAAGTTTGATTGGTGGTTGTATGTGTATACTCCATTAAAATATACAACGTCAGAGTATATTTTAATCTTTCTGATCAATCTTAAATTTTTTATTATTTATTCATTAATGGTCGACAATACGAGTGTCTTCCTCATTATTCAAAAGATTATATAAAAGATAATTATTTTATATGCTAGAAGCCTAGTTAAAGAATACAATTTTCTAAATAGAATCATCTATGCAGAAGGTTGTAAGTGGAAACAATGTGTTATTAAGTAAAATTAAAAATCATCTTAATATGCTAAATTAATAAAGAAAATACAATAAATAGGAAAAAAGAAAATAAGAAGATTGATAATAAAGTGAAGAAATGTATGTTAGATAAAGAGTGTTAAGTAAATAGGACAAAGAGAAAAGTAAAGTAATGGGAAATCACCGACTCGGTGGGGGAAAATTTTTTCAGCCTGTCCGGCAAGCTATGCCCCTGCTCATAGCTGGGAATGGTCAGCGACTTCCCGAAGGTATCCTGAAAGCAACGATTTTATTAGGGGTAGAGAGTGTTCGGAAGAAAAAACATGATGCAAACTATTGTAGTTTTTACATAGCACGCGTTAAAGATTGTACATAAAGCACATAGTGCACGTAGATAGGAATAAGGGGCGATAATATCTGGTTGGTCTGGACGGAACAGAGGATTGAAGACGCCCTAAAAGAAAAGGAGAATCTATATCGCCAACAATCAACTCAATCAACTTATGTAGGAAGACAACACCTATTGTCCTACGGTTGGTTAACGACGAAAGAAGCAGCCTGCTGGAGTTGGATGGCAACCGAAGAAGAGGGTCCTAATTTAAACCTCGTAAGGCAAAAAGCAGAAATTGCTTCTGAACATATTCAATACGATCCTGGCTATTGTTATACTGTGGAGACCAGATGCAAGAGCAGTATTCAAGGATAGAACGAACAAGAGAGATGTATAGACAGAAGTTTTGTTAGAAAAGGATCGTTAAGCTCTTTAGACCATCGTTTAATGAATCCAAGTACACCTTTTGCCTCATTAACGATGCGATCTATGTGAAGATTGAAACGGAGTTTAGAATCAAAAATATCGCATAGATCCTTAACTGTTAGTATACGTTGCAAAGGGATATTGTCGATTGTATAACTGACAAGATAAGGTGTAGTACGATTATATGTCATAAACATACACTTTGAACAATTTAGATGCAATTGATTGGCCGAACATCAAAGTTGCATAGCGTTCAAATCGTCTTGTAGACGAGAATGATGAAGGGGATTAGTGTATGATAAGGTTCGTAACGATATTATACGAAACTATCAAAATATTACTTCAAACACTCGACAAATCGAAAATGTTGTTAAATCAACTCACACGATAGAATAAAATGAGAGTGCAAAGCGTAATGTGCAATAGAGAACCGTTACATTCTATATTTAGCCTATGCTGGAAATGTCCCGTTAGGTTTGCTTCTAAAAGCCGTTGTTTTGCTGAAATTTTATTGTAACGAAATTATACGAAACATTCGAAAAACTGATCTTTAGGTGTGCGTATCAACTTTGTTTGATTTGTAACTTTGAATTTTGGCAATTTTATTTAAAAAATCACTGAAATGCCACGAAGAACGCGTTTGACTGAAGAGGAAAAAGGGAAAATTCTCGCTTTCAAAGCCTCTGGCTTATTAATTAACCAAATAGGGAAATTAATTGGTCGAACATGCTGCGTAATCAAAAATTTTTTACAAAATGAGGAAGGATACGGCAAAAATAAAAATTCTGGAAGAAAATCCAAACTGTCTGGCCGTAACAAGCGTCAAATTTTGAAAAAAGCAAGTAATTCGACCTTGTCGTGTCGTCAACTTGCTGCATACAGCAGCATTCCAGTGTCACCAATGTGCGTTTGGCGTACTTTAAAAACATTCAAACATATAGTGCGAGGAGTAATGAAGAAGCAGCCAACTCTCAAAAATCACCACAAGGCAGCACGACTTGAATTCGCTATTAAAAACCTTGTTACGTTCTAGGACTTGGTAAGGAATCGTTGTCTTGTAATGTTGCATGCAACATGCAGATGCAACACATGCAACATACGATTTTTAAATATTGATGAGAAAAAGTTTAATTTAGATGGTCCAGATGGATTTCGCGGCTATTGGCACGATTTGCGTAAGGAACCCCTCGTATTTTCAAAACGGAATTTCGGAGGTGGTTCTGTTATGGTATGGGGTGCATTTACCAAGTGTAGCACCCTTGAACTCCGCTTTGTGACTTCAAGAATGACAAGCGTAGATTATGTGGAAGTGTTGGACAACACTCTCCTACCCTTCCTACAGGATAAAAGGGAAAGTCCTTACATTTTCATGCAAGATAATGCGAGAATTTACACCAGTCGTCACACGATGGCGTACCTATTATCACCCTCAATACTTTGGACTGGCCTGCGTGTTCACCTGATCTGAACCCTATTGAAAACGTCTGGGGAATTCTTGTACGTCGTGTTTACGCCGAAAATAAGAAATTTGATAGTGTTACTGAACTAAAAAGTAAGATTTTAAGAAAATGGAGAAAATTGGACCAAACCCTTTTGGCAAATTTAATATACTCAATGAAAAGAATGTTATTCAATGTAGGAAATGAACAAGGAGGCCCTATTTAATGTTCAAATTTTTTTTTAGCTATTATCTCAAAGATTTCTGGTTTTATAAGCTAAAAAAAAAAGTTTTCGTATAATAGTGTTACACTCGTGTTACACTCGTTAATTTTTCAAATATTTTAAAACTATTAGCATTTTAATGCCTATGTTATTATATAATGTTGCTTTAATATACATTTTCGAAAATAAAGCATTACTATACTTCTAAGATTACTTAAACAAACAAAAATTTAAAAATACAAAGTCCGCATACATGAATACATGGACATGTGATATAACAGAGGGGAGATCATTTATAAAAAGAGTTAAAAGTAAAGGTCCAAGATGACTACCTTGAGGAACACCAACAGTAACGTGAACCCGTCCAGAGGTAGTCAGCCCCACCATTACTCTTTGGGTCCTACCTTTTAAATAAGAATTAATCCAATGCAAAAGAGACGCTGGGAAACCTATTCGGTCAAGTTTAAAAAGTAAAATATCATGGTGCACAGAGTCAAACGCCTTACTGAAGTCAGTGTAAATGACATCAGTTTGCATTTTCGAAAGGAAAGCATCATTTACCAAGGAAGTAAATTCAAGCAGATTGGTCGTAGTTAACCGATTCTTTACGAATCCATGTTGAACAGGGGAAACAGCTGGTTTGCAGAAATGCTGCGAATTCGAAGTGATTATTTGTTCAAATAATTTAGGAATAGCGGACAGTTTTCCAATGCCCCTGTAATTTTGTATATCAGACTTCCCACCACCACCAGTTTACGCCATCAAAGCCGACATAAGTTAGAAACTAACTCAAATTTCTTCATGGATGAAAGGTATAATATATTACTGTGCCTGGCCGCAAAGGCGTCGCAGGCATGGCAAAGGAGTTACCCGAACAAGACATGACTAAAATCCTTTCTAATAAAATTGGTATATGCATGAACTCGGCGACTTCTAAGCTCCCTCTTAAAGAAAATTTTAAAAATGGCAACGAATAAGCTGCGCGGCGCTGACACGATTTTTAACATGGCATTCGATGATTGGGGTGCACCCCATTAACGCACCTAGTTAACACCCTATACAAGGACTTCCGTCGTAGAGATAAACAACTAGAATTGTTGACCACTTCTTCTGTTCCTATCCTTCACTGTAAGATACAAACCCCTTGAAAGCCATTTCTTTAAGAATTTAAGTCAACTAGCAGAATTTAGTTCAAGCAGAGTTTCTAAATTCTTCCAGACATTAATTTGGAGCTAGTTTGGGTCTATCATCTTCAATCGAAGGGTTTCGAAATCAAATTTATTTTTTTAT